TTTGTTAGGTTCAATTTATGGGTATGAAAACTCAGGAAAAATATACACTTTCCATCTGCTTGCTCCAGAATGCCTCATAAGTCCTTTTAAGCTGAGCTCCCACTGGTGCTCATACAGAATTATGCCTTACACCTTCATTATTGTGGAAGTCAAACACTAGGAAGGTCGAGTAAATACAATGGTGGATTTGCACTGAAAGTTCAGGGATTGTCTTCAGTAGTTTCTTTTTAGCAATTTTGTTTTGAATAAAAGATCTGTCAAATTTGAAGCTGTTTAATTACCGTGGAGAATTTTTTGTGACATGAATTGTCATACAAATATGGTTTTTATGCAAAGCGAAAATGTTACGCTTATCAAAAAAAACCATAATGCATTTGTTTTGAGAGTATGAGTATGCATTCTTCATGAAGGGGTACATATGTCTAGCAATGCAAGTTACTATCTAAAACAGCTGTCTTATTTCGAGAAACTCTGAGCAAGGATTATTTCCAAAACAGAAATACTGGCATGCTCTCCTATGGCAGCACTTTTTTAACTGCTTAAAAAGCAGAAATGTTTTATCACAGACTGTACCTACAATACTTAGTGAGTGAATGTTGAAAATAAACTGAGTAATTAGGTATATTGTTTCACAGAATGGTAGAATCACAGAATAGTTTGGTTTGGAAGAGACCTTTAAAGGTTGTCTAGTCCAACCCATCCTGCAATGAGCAGGGACATCTTCAGTTAGATCAGGTCGCTCCAAGACCCATCTAGCCTGAATATTTCCAGGGATGGGGTGTCTACCACCTCTGGGCAACCTATTCCAGTGTCTCACCACCCTCACAGTGAAAAATTTCTTCTTTACATCTACTCTAAATCTAGCCTCTTTTATTTTAAAACAATTACTCCTTGTCCTATTACACTAGGTTCCACTAAAAATTTTGTTCCCATCTTTTTTCTATTCTCCTTCTAAGTACTGAAAGGCTCAAATGAGGCATTCCCAGAGCCTTCTCTTCTCCAGGCTGAATAATCCAATTCTCTCAGTCTTTTCTTATATGAGAGGTGTTCTATCCCCCTGATCATTTCTGTGGCCCTCCTAGGGACCCTCTCCAGCAGGTCTTTCCTGTACTGAGGACTCCAGAGCTGGACACTGTACTCCTTGTGGAGTCTTGCCAGAGCAGAGCTGGTGGGCAGAATCACCTCCCTGCACTGCTGGTTACAATTCTTTTGATGCAGCTCAAGGTACAGTTGGCTTTCTGGGCTGTGAGCACACACTGCTGGCTCATGTTCAGTTTCTCATCCACAGGTACCCACAAGTCCCTCTCTGCAGCACTGCTCTCAATCCTTTCATTCCCCAGCCTATATTGACAGGTTACCTCTGACCCAGGTGCAGGACCTTGCACTTGGCCTTGTTGAACCTCATGCGGTTCCCATGGGCGCACTTGAGCTTGTTCAGGTTCCTCTGGATAGCATTCATCTCTTGGGTGTGCCGACAGTACCACTCAGCTTCAGGTCATCTGCAGACTTGCTGATGACACACTCCATCTTAGTGTCTGTGTCATTTATGATGATATTAAACAGTACTGATCCCATTATGGACCCTGGAGGACAGTGATCACTTGTCACTGATCTCCATCCAGACATTGACCCACTGACCACTAAATCTCTTGAATGTGACCATCTAACCAAACAGTCTATCTGTCAAATTCACGTCTCCAATTTAGAGAGAAGGGTGTTGTTGGAGACCATGCCAAAGGCATCACAGAAGTCCAGACAGATGGCAGCTGTAGCTCTTCCTTTGTCCGCTGATGTAGTCACTTCATCAAAGAAGGCCTGCTAGGTTGGTCAGACAAGACTTGCTGCTGGCAAAACCATGTTTCAAATGTAGTTATGTGATTTGAAATTAAAAATAATGTAGCACTTTTAACTAACATTATTCTTGTTTACTTTGACATGATGTGGTACCTACATACACAGAAGAGAACAGTAGGTAATAAGGCAAACGTAATCCTTCAGGAGTGTCAGACAGGATTATCAGGAACCCTCTGTTCTTTTCTTGTGTAAAAATATGCCGAACAGAAAAAATAAATTCAATGACTGTCACTGTTGAGGATCAGCTGTTAAGCTGCATCCTTCATACTTCTTGTTTCATGTGACCAGCAGGGATACAGATACTGGCTGTCAGTCTGGGAACACATAGCATGTTCATGAAACTGGAATTGTCGAATTTTAGTAGTGTTGGATTTGGGTTGTTTTTTTTTTTTTTTCACGTACCCTTTATCACAGTATTTCAGATTTCCAGTTCCATTTAGAACCTTTTTTTTTTTAAAGCTGAGAACTTTTTCCAAGGCTATATTATTTTAAAAAAGTACTTCAATTCAGTTTACTTAGAGTCATATTGAACAGAATCTTATTCTTTAAAAAAATAAATGCCAAAGATCAGATTTTACAGCAGAAGCCAGTAAAATATATTTGAGTCAGACTGTATAAAAGCAGACCTTCCATGTTGCTGAGCAACGCTGACCCGAGTGATCTTGAAATCCACAAAATAATTCATATGAATATGTGCAGCTGATGTTTTCTGGCATCATCATTTTGCATTGCAGTCAGTGGGCTGGTGATTGTATAAAATGTTCTGCTCTGGGTATAGGACTATAAAGGCTTTGAGGAATGCAATCACCAGTAAGATTAGAGTTTTCCTGGAAATAATTTTGCTAACTGCAAGAATTAACCTAGTTTAATCCTTGGCATGTTGAATTGCTGAAGTGCTCAGAATATGATTATCATCAGCGTCATACACTCTCATGCATCTCTTTATTTCTTTTCTCTTTCATCTCTGCAGAAGTTCAGAGTGTCCTTTTTTCTTCCCTGTTTTTCTTGTATCTCTCACTTCAGATGGGAAGCAGATCTAAATCGGATTGCCATTATATCAAGTGCCCTGCCTTTCTGCTGCTGCTTTTATTTGCTATGGAGATACAGCATAATTCATGATTGTTGTTGGATGCCTCTGAAACCTCTTCTGCTTCATCTATTAGATCAGAGGCCTCATGCTCATAATCATTCTGTTAATTCTTAAATTTGTTGCTATGGTAGAAACTTCTTCTCAACTTTGTCCTTCTGCATCCCCATTCTGACTCCGTGATTTATACATCCCCTACCTGGCAGTGTTGTCTCCTGCATGTACTTCCATTTCCCTGATTACTATTGCACTCCTTTTGGCATATGTTTTCTACTCCTTCCTCATACTCCAGCGGATGAATCACCCCAGTTCTAGGAAAGTGGACCCCAGACACATCAAGGCAAATATCAGTAAGTTGAAGCAAAGGTGCTGGCTGTAGAGTTACCAGATACTGAGCCCTAATTAAACAGCACATGTGGTCCCAAATGCTTGTATGCAGGGAAGACCATACAGAAGTTACTGGGAACTCTTCCCAGGTAAGCAATTCAAATCTTTAAGAAAAATGTCAAGATGGTAGGACAATAGCTTCTCTTATGTAAAAACAGCTACGAAGATTATTTTGCAACCCTAGGAACATTTTTACAAAAGAGCATATGTGTTCTACATCATTATAAAGCAATATATTAAAATATGTCTTTAAATGACAGCTTCATTTGCTTTAGGAGAGACTTGGAGTACTGTCATATTCTATTGGGTATAATTACATGCAAGTAAGACACTACATTGTATGAGCAAGAGTACATAAGTATTTGTAACTGTTTTTGATAAAGTATGTCTATGAAAAAATCATAAGAGTCCAATCATAATTATTTTTAAAATGTAGCAATGCTAATATCCTGTATTTTTTTAGTTACATGTCATAAAGTGTTCTGTGTCTCTGCAAATGAAGTAAGAAATGTTCATTTGGCAGATTCAGGTATCTGCAAATAGGTTAAAAAACAAAGGACTTTTCAAAGTGTCAGATTTGCATATCAGCACAGCATTTTACCCTTAAAAACTAATAGCCAGACTTCTATTGAAATTAACCTGTGTAGAAAAGTATTGAATAATCATGAGGTGTATAGGCTAAAAACAAAGTAATTGGACAGCATTTGTACATTTAAGTGCTTTATCTGATTCATAAGCATGAAGAGAGAATATTTCCAAGGAAAACACTGTACTTCTGGAACTGTTTAGTATTAATGTTTACACCTCTCAAAGGTTAGATGCTCAGAAGATCATTTGTAAGGCTTTACATAAAATAATGAGTGAAATCATCCACAAATTCCATATACAAATCATTTAGAAATTCTTTCTTGAGCTGAATTTTAATTTTTCCTGTTTTGTAGACCGACATTAGTTACTGTCTTTTATATATATGTTTATACATATAGCAACATCTAAAGAAAAAAATATTTTCAATCAAGATTGTATCACACAGAAAAATAATAGTAGCCTTAAAGATCTGGAGATCTCTGCATTCCATTCTTTTCTCTGCCTTGCTAGAACAGAGTAATGCAGTATCATCAGATCTATTTAATTTTTAATTCAGGTCTCATGCCAGCCAATGCAATAAATACTTTTTTTCTGATTTCACAAGTGACAAAAGTTGTTGCATTAAAAAAAACCTCTAAAGCAAGTCAACATCAGCACTGGTTTGTGGAAGCATTATGAACAGTTCCTTAGGTTATATGCTTTGAGAATTTTTTATTTGATTTGGATGCATAAATATTTGAGTGCTTGACCTGGGGAATGTTTAAAGAACTTAGTTTCCAAAGTTCATGCTGATTAGGTAGTGCCAATATTTATTTTATTTCCTACATGAGGCAAAAAATTGGTAGGCTAAATTTTAGATTTCAGTGCTTCTGTATATCACTTTAGCAAGTTACTTATTTAAAGCCAGTGACTTGTGAAATTTCAGGAGGGGAAGGCACTGCCATTTCTGTAATCTGTCTTTCACTGTGCTGCAGAATTTTTTGTATAATCACTGTTTGAGTTTATGAAGCACATGCAAAAACATGTACATTTCTTGAATGTCTGCTGGTTCCTTATCTTTGTGTCTTTTACTGTGATGTTGTAGAGCTTGGATCATATGGAAACCTAAAATATTATGACACAATGACTGAAGAAGGTAAGAAATATTTTAGAATTGTTTGTATGAGCTTTTTAAGCCCCTTCTATGTGTTTATTTCTTTTCTTCATTTTTCATAGTCCTATTTTCAGTTTCTCCATTTTTCAAAAACTCCTTTTTGCATGTCTTCATTGATGGTGCAATCAATTATGGCTCTTTTTTCAGGTTTTTGTTTTCAGCATTTCAGTTTTGCTATTTCAGATAAGGAAATACAATTAAATGCTTTTATTAAGAAACATACATGCAAAGCCAAACTTACAAATTACACAGCATAATATAAAATCAATTGTAGATGCTTATTTTATGCTCTGTTTTCCAGTGCATTCAGAAAGATGAATTAACTTATGAAAGTTCAATCATTCAGTTTGAGAACAAATATTAAGGGACTTCAGTTTAATGTTTTATTCAAAAGTAATGAACAAACTTTAAAAAATAGACATGACTGTTCCTGGGGTATTAATTGTATGCTTAATTGCCATGCAAAAATTATACAGTTTAAAACCCTGATTCTAGCAATCAAGAAGGAAGTAATTAAGAGCCTGAATCAAGGCTCAGTGAAATCTCAGGAATTTTTTCTGCTGACTCAAAAGCACTGCAGTTTATTACACTAATTCAGGAAAGCAGTTAATTCTGTACAGGATTTCCAACACATGCTTTCAGTCCTAGTGCAGTCAGCATTTCTATGATTTGGAAGTTTTTCTGGATCAAGACCTGATTATTTGTAGGATCAAAGCCTCTTGTCCAGCTCTCTGATTATAATGCCAGACAGATGGTTTCACAGGTGTTCAGTTTAGGGTCAGAGGATAAAGGTAAGCCTGAGGCCTGTGGAAAAGTTAGCTGCTCTTCCCACTTATTTTTAATGCTGGGGATATAAGGCAAATAACTTAATTCACTGTTTTTAAAACCACGGTTATTTACTAGTTTAGATTATTCTTGAAGTTGAAAAGTTTTTAAGAAAACCTCTATTATATGACTTACTTGTGATCATTTCTCCAGGGCATAACAAAAACTATCTCCCATTGTCTGTATCTGGTGTTGATACTCAAATATAACCGTAATATTCTGGGGATGGCTGTAGGAGATGGTTCTTTGCACTTTGTGCCTGATATTGGCAGATACTCATTACTTCTGTAGCAGGCATGAGCTTATCGGGCAGTCCAGCCTCACCATCCTCCTTTGCCCAGACCCACCATCTGAGGGCAAGTGGTGGTATCTCTGTTGCTTAAATACTCATCTCAAGCACCTGAAATAAGTCATTAGCCCAGGTCAATTAGACACAGCTACCAGAGCTAAAGCTTTTGCAGTATGTTTTATCTCAGTCTTCATTACAAACAAGATGTGAAGTTCAGTTCTCATTGTAAGCAGAGTCTGGTATGTTAAGGTTTTTATTTTTATGCTAAAGTATTAAATCTATCATTTAAAAAATAGTCACTGTCTTAGTAGCCTTCTGATGTTCGTAAATACTCCATTGTCAGTTAAATGTAGCTGTTTGTGGGAAAATACCCATACAAGTAGGATACATCCCAGAAGTATTTCAATAAAAGTGTGCTGTGTTTTGAACTTGCTGTTTGGATCTTCAGAAATATAATCACATTCACTACGCATCATGCTTATTTGCATTATCTGTTTTCCTCTTTCTCTTCCTTCTTTTGACTGGCCTTTTTATACATTTTGTATATACATTGTTAGTCACAAGAACATGTAAACCCAGTTACAAATATGTGGATTTTTTTCTAATGTAGTACATTGTCGTGGTTTAAACCCAGTCAGGTAACTCGTTCACTCACTCCCAGCGAGTGGTGCCGAGCTGACAACAATCGAGGTCCGTGTCTGTCTCCCCCCCCCCTGCACCGGGGCTCTCCCCTTCCCCACTCCCGGAGGAACGGGGAGGAGGATCGAGAGAGTGCAACTCCTACGGGTTGAGACAAGAACAGTCCAGCAACAAATCACCACCGCTACTATCAGTTAAAACAATGATAAGGGAAAATAACAAGGGAAGAGAATACGATACCACCGGCCAAGAAACGAGTTCCACCCGGAAGCCCCTGTCCTTCCGGGTAACTCCCAGTTACCCCCCACCCCGGGCATGACGTGCTGTGGTATGGAATACCTCCCCGGCTAGCCCGGGTCAGGCGCCCCGTCTCTGCCTCCCCACAGCTTCCCCTCCTCCCTGGCAGAGCATGAGCCTCACAGAGTCCTTGGTCAGGATAAACATCACTTAGCAACAACCGAAAACATCGGCTTCACCAACACTGTTCTCAAACTAGAAGTCAGAACACAGCACTGCACCAGCTAACACAAAGGAAAAAACATGACTGCTACTGCTGAACCCAGGACATTATCCACCCCTTATTCCATACCATTCACGTCGTGCTCAGATCCCACATTTTCAATACACCATCGCTCTCCCACATATATACATCCATATACATACAGACCAAGACGAAAAAATCATTTTCTTAGTGCATGGACCAATCCCTATAATGCTGCGGAGTCCATTCGGTCCATGATGTTCCAAGTTCATTCTCTGTTGGGATGATGGCTGGAGGGAAGTCAGGGCCAGTCGCTGGTGACCTGGAGACATCTAGTTGATGGGCTATAAAAGCATTACACAGCAGGCAACAGCATACAATTGAGTTCACTGGCTGTTTTCCCCTAAAATCAAATCCCCTTGAGGTATACATCGGACTTCCCCATCTTCCCGCATTACCCACCAAGTATATCCAGGTCCCTGAGCAAAAGCAATCCCACGAGTGGGTTTGCCTTTACCTGAAGCAGGAATAACCCAGACTGTCTTCCCCAGCAAATTCTTCATATGCACCACGGGAACTTTGTCCCCCTCTACAATATGTAAAAGTTCTGACTGGGCTGGGCCAGCCCTGTTGGCAGATCCTCTGGTGTTGACCAACCAGGTGGCCTTTGGTAAATGTGTATCCCAATGCTTGAAAGTTCCCCCACCCATCGCTCTCAGTGTAGTTTTTAACAGCCCATTGTACCGTTCGATTTTCCCAGAGGCTGGTGCATGGTAGGGGATGTGATATACCCACTCAATGCCATGCTCTTTGGCCCAAATATCTATAAGGTTATTCCGGAAATGAGTCCCATTGTCTGACTCAATTCTCTCTGGGGTGCCGTGTCGCCACAAAATCTGTTTCTCAAGGCCCAGGATGGTGTTCCGGGCAGTGGCATGGGGCACAGCGTATGTTTCCAGCCACCCGGTGGTTGCTTCCACCATGGTAAGCACATGGCGCTTGCCTTGGCGGGTTGGCGGCAGTGTGATATAGTCAATCTGCCAGGCCTCCCCATATTTATACTTCAACCATCGTCCTCCATACCAAAGAGGCTTTAACCGCTTGGCTTGTTTAATTGCAGCACTTGTTTAATTGCATTCACACTCATGAATAACCTGGGCAATAGTGTCCATTGTTAAGTCCACCCCTCGGTCACGGGCCCATATATATGTTGCATCTCTGCCCTGATGGCCTGAAGTGTCATGGGCCCACCGGGCCAAAAATAATTCACCTTTATGTTGCCAATCTAAGTCCATCTGAGCCACTTCAATCTTAGCCGCTTTATCCACTTGTTGGTTGTTCTGGTGTTCCTCAGTGGCCCAACTCTTGGGTACATGGGCATCTACATGACGTACTTTCACCACCAGGTTCTGCACCCAGGCAGCAATATCTTTCCACAGTGCAGCAGCCCAGATGGGTTTACCTCTGCGTTGCCAGTTGCTCTGCTTCCATTGCTTCAACCACCCCCACAGGGCATTTGCCACCATCCATGAGTCAGTATAGAGATAAAGTACTGGCCACTTTTCTCGTTCAGCAATGTCCAGGGCCAGCTGGATGGCTTTCACCTCCGCAAACTGACTCGATTCACCCTCTCCTTCAGCAGTTTCTGCAACTTGTCATCCAGGACTCCATACAGCTGCCTTCCATCTCCGATGCTTTCCCACAATACGGCAAGAGCCATCAGTAAACAAGGCATACTGCTTTTCACTTTCTGACAGTTTATTATATGGTGGGGCCTCTTCAGCACGCACCACCTCCTCCTCTGGTGACATTCCGAAATCTTTGCCCTCTGGCCAGTCCATGATGACTTCTAGAATGCCTGGACGACTGGGGTTTCCTATTCGAGTTCGTTGTGTAATTAGTGCAGCCCATTTACTCCATGTAGCATCAGTTGCATGATGTGTAGAGGAGACCCTGCCTTTGAACATCCAGCCCAGCACGGGCAGCCGGGGTGCCAGGAGGAGCTGTGCTTCAGTGCCAATCACTTCCGAAGCAGCTCGAACCCCTTCATAGGCTGCCAGTATCTCTTTCTCAGTTGGGGTATAGCTGGCCTCAGATCCTTTGTATCCCCGACTCCAAAAGCCGAGGGGTCGACCTCGAGTCTCCCCTGGAGCTTTCTGCCAGAGGCTCTAGGTAGGACCGTTCTCCCCTGCTGCAGTGTACAGCACATTTTTTACATCTGGCCTGGTCCGGACTGGTCCAAGGGCTACTGCATGAACTATCTCGCGTTTAATTTGCTCAAAGGCTTGTTGCTGCTCAGGGCACCATTTAAAATCATTCTTCTTCTGGGTCACATGATAGAGAGGGCTTACAATCGAACTGTAATTTGGGATGTGCATTCTCCAGAACCCCACTGCACCCAAGAAAGCTTGCGTTTCTTTCTTATTAGTTGGTGGAGACATTGCTGTTATCTTGTTGATCACATCTGTGGGGATCTGTCTACGTCCATCTTGCCGTTTTATTCCCAAAAATTGAATCTCCTGTGCAGGTCCCTTGACCTTACTCCGTTTTATGGCAAAACCGGCTTTCAGCAGGATTTGGATTATTTTCCACCCTTTCTCAAAGACTTCTTCCGCTGTATCGCCCCACACAATAATGTCATCAATGTATTGCAGGTGTTCTGGAGCTTGCCCCTGTTCCACTGCAGTCTGGATCAGTCCATGGCAAATGGTAGGGCTGTGTTTCCACCCCTGGGGCAGTCGGTTCCAA